ACAAGTTTGTGTTTCAATGCATCGCACAAAGTCTTGTAGGTTGCAGAACAACCTTTTCCTTGTTTCCAGTACATTAACATGTGATATGCCTTTTCGGACAGTTGGTCATGAACTTGAGATATTTCTGCAAGCTTTGGCTCACTGACCTTAAGGCGACGCCCAAGCTTTTTCCATTCTACAATTTCATTGGCCAGTTCTTCTAATTCATCATCTGTGGGTGTGCCATCTCTTACTACAAAGACGAATAATTGTTCAATTAATTACTGAGCTGTTGTTACGTTGTTGCTCACGATTCTAGCAACATTTGGGCTTTGACCTATCTTAAGTAAGATTAATTTTTATCATACATGTAGCACCCCAGCGTGTTTACAGATTTAACTTATATATATTTTGCTGAAAAACAAAACAAAATCTTAGTGATGTCAGAATTGGTTGTCATGATGACAACAAACAGTACCATTAAAGCTATCACAACTTTAAAACTACTAGGTAAAAGTTACTGTTTATTTTTATATATGTATACATTTCCATCAAAACTAGTGACTTGTGAAATATGCTTCTCCTCTAAGACCAAGTTGAAAACAACAAATCACAACCTCCCAGGTGAAAGCACCGAAACATTTACCAAAACGAAATGACCGAAACAAGCGAAACAACCAAAACAAAACCATGAGTCAGCCAAAGGAGAAACTTCAAAAATTGATTTCACTTTCTCTTAGATTTATTGAGTTTACTTCTATTACTGACTGCAATGTTATATTTTTGTTNAACAAAACCATGAGTCAGCCAAAGGAGAAACTTCAAAAATTGATTTCACTTTCTCTTAGATTTATTGAGTTTACTTCTATTACTGACTGCAATGTTATATTTTTGTTGTAAATTAAATCACTTTATTATGTACTTACATTTTAACAAGTTTGTATCTTCTTTTGTTTACTTGTTTATAAATTAATGTATGTTTATGTTATATTAAGGTTACTTTCCACCTTCGCGGGTGTCCTTCGGGAAAAAAATTCGTACGTGCGCCAGTTTCAATAAAACCCCAACAACTGTAAATCAGAAGAAAGCTTACTAGATGTAGTTCACTATAAAAATACAATTTAAGGAATGTTTTTTAAAGGAAGTGTCAGGAGTCGGTAAGGTGTGAAACGACAGAGGGTTCTGCTATTGAATTTATCGGTTATCGGATGCCGCCACTCGAGCAAAATGGCTGCACAGTTCACAAGGCATCAATCAACAAAAGTGTGTCGAGCTGTTTCGATATTCTGATTGGTTGTCTAGATTTCTGCATCTTAAGTTGGAGTAGCTAAAAATACGCGAGACGCGTTGCGTAAATGGACGCCACGGGAAAAATATGTTAAATATCCAAATTTCCCCACACACTTTTGTTTGTCATTATCCCTGAAATGTTCTGGCGAAATTTCACGAAAATCCATCAAATCTGCATACCCTATAAATTTGCTCAAAGTGGATGAATTCCAAATGCGAGATTTTAGGTCATAAAGGTTCGTAAACAACTCGAGCCACGCCAGGAGATTATCTCTCAACTGCAAACCATTGGAACAACAGGACCTCCTAGTGTCAATGACAATGCACCAGGATTTCCCGCGAAAAGCATCGCATTGCAACACGTTTTCTATCTCGCTGTCGCACTGAAGAGAAAGAC